CATGTAAGAAGTAGAAAGTACAGGTATTTGTGTTCAACATGTAAGAAGTAGAAAGTACAGGTATTTGGGTTCATCATGTAAGAAGTAGAAAGTACAGGTATTTGTGTTCAACATGTAAGAAGTAGAAAGTACAGGTATTTGGGTTCATCATGTAAGAAGTAGAAAGTACAGGTATTTGGGTTCATCATGTAAGAAGTAGAAAGTACAGGTATTTGTGTTCAACATGTAAGAAGTAGAAAGTACAGGTATTTGTGTTCAACATGTAAGAAGTAGAAAGTACAGGTATTTGTGTTCAACATGTAAGAAGTAGAAAGTACAGGTATTTGTGTTCATCATGTAAGAAGTAGAAAGTACAGGTATTTGGGTTCAACATGTAAGAAGTAGAAAGTACAGGTATTTGGGTTCATCATGTAAGAAGTAGAAAGTACAGGTATTTGTGTTCAACATGTAAGAAGTAGAAAGTACAGGTATTTGGGTTCATCATGTAAGAAGTAGAAAGTACAGGTATTTGGGTTCAACATGTAAGAAGTAGAAAGTACAGGTATTTGGGTTCATCATGTAAGAAGTAGAAAGTACAGGTATTTGGGTTCATCATGTAAGAAGTAGAAAGTACAGGTATTTGTGTTCAACATGTAAGAAGTAGAAAGTACAGGTATTTGTGTTCATCATGTAAGAAGTAGAAAGTACAGGTATTTGGGTTCAACATGTAAGAAGTAGAAAGTACAGGTATTTGGGTTCATCATGTAAGAAGTAGAAAGTACAGGTATTTGTGTTCAACATGTAAGAAGTAGAAAGTACAGGTATTTGTGTTCAACATGTAAGAAGTAGAAAGTACAGGTATTTGTGTTCAACATGTAAGAAGTAGAAAGTACAGGTATTTGGGTTCATCATGTAAGAAGTAGAAAGTACAGGTATTTGAGTTCAACATGTAAGAAGTAGAAAGTACAGGTATTTGTGTTCAACATGTAAGAAGTAGAAAGTACAGGTATTTGGGTTCAACATGTAAGAAGTAGAAAGTACAGGTATTTGGGTTCATCATGTAAGAAGTAGAAAGTACAGGTATTTGAGTTCAACATGTAAGAAGTAGAAAGTACAGGTATTTGTGTTCAACATGTAAGAAGTAGAAAGTACAGGTATTTGTGTTCAACATGTAAGAAGTAGAAAGTACAGGTATTTGGGTTCAACATGTAAGAAGTAGAAAGTACAGGTATTTGTGTTCAAAATGTGAGAAGTAGAAAGTACAGGTATTTGTGTTCAACATGTAAGAAGTAGAAAGTACAGGTATTTGTGTTCAACATGTAAGAAGTAGAAAGTTCAGGTATTTGTGTTCAACATGTAAGAAGTAGAAAGTTCAGGTATTTGGGTTCAACATGTAAGAAGTAGAAAGTACAGGTATTTGTATTCAACATGTAAGAAGTCAAAGTAAAAAGTAGTCAGGAAATAGTAGAGTAAAGTACTGATACCAGAAACATGTACTTAAGTACAGTAACGAAGTATTTGTACTCCACTCCTTCCCACCTCTGTTCCAGTCTGGTATTTTCCAAGCGGATCTGTACCCGATGACGGCAGGAAACCAGGCTTCCATGACGGCTCAGGAGTGGCTGTCGGGGATCAACAGAAGTCAGTAACTCATCCCTTTGGAGCCAAAATGGCTGACATACATGATCACTCACCTCTTGTTTCTCTCGCTTTAGGTCCAGTGCTGATGTCCCTGAAACCGGGGATAGGAGTGTCCAACCCTTACCCAGAAACCCCTGCAGAGAAGATGGCTCCAGAGAGAACTGAGAATAACCTGGACTTTATGGAAGAGGTAGTCGAAATCAATCAATGAAACAATAGTTTAGAGAAGGGTTTAGCGTTGAATTATCTAAAAATAAGTGTTTTTGGGGCAAAATGGCATCATTTGACTGACATGGAAGATATCATTCGTAGTAGAAGTAGACAAAACCCCAGAAGTGGGAGAAGTACTCTGATCTTGTACTTGAGTAAAAGTAGAAGTACTCAGGTCTTGTAGTAAAAAGATAAGTACTCAGATCTTGGACTTGAGTAAAAGTAGAAGTACTCAGATCTTGTACTTGAGTAAAAGTAGAAGTACTCAGGTCTTGTAGTAAAAAAATAAGTACTCTGATCTTGTACTTGAGTAAAAGTAGAAGTACTCAGATCTTGTACTTGAGTAAAAGTAGAAGTACTCAGATCTTGTACTTGAGTAAAAGTAGAAGTACTCAGATCTTGTACTTGAGTAAAAGTAGAAGTACTCAGATCTTGTTCTTGAGTAAAAGTAGAAGTACTCAGATCTTGTACTTAAAAGTAGAAGTACTCAGATCTTGTACTTAAAAGTAGAAGTACTCAGATCTTGTACTTAAAAGTAGAAGTACCAGAGTGTAGGAATACTCTGTTTCAGTAAAAGTCCTGCATTCAAAATGTTACTAAAGTAAAAGTATAAAAGTATTATCATCAAAATATACGTAAAGTACCAAAAGTAAAAGTAGTCATTGTGCAGATTGGTCAGAGTACAGTACAGTAAATGTACTTAGTTACTTCACCTCTGCATTACACAACACATGTTTTAAACCTTGTAGACGGCCTTGATGGAGGTCGTTGCTCTCAGATTGACCTCCAGTTTTGTTTTTTGTTGAGCATAACTACAGCCTTGCGTTGTTCGATATTTTTAAATAAATATGTTTTGCCCCCCCTGACTAAATCTAAAAGCTAAAAAACATATTTGCATTTTTCCGAGCTCACAGAGAGGTCAAAATATATTTATATTTGCTGCAACACAAACACCTGACTTCAGACGCTCCCTGTGGTTATGAAACCTTTCATAATGGTGTGTTATGAACATGATCAAAGTGCAGTGTGTGTGTGTGTGTGTGTGTGTGTGTGTGTAAGTGTAAAACAAGTAGAAGTACCAGAGTGTAGGAATACTCTGCATTCAAAATGTTCCTCAAGTAAAAGTAGAAAAGTATTATCATCAAAATATAGTTAAAGTACCGTCAGTAAAAGTATTCATTGTGCAGATTGCTGCATTTCAGAACAATATGATATGTTTTATAATGATTGATCATGCAGCACAGGTAGTTCACTTTTAGCAATATTGGGCTGTGATCAACTTTAGAAGCTGTGTTAACGAAACCTGACAATTCCTTTAAAATGTCATATATATTTACAGCCGATTTGAGCTTGAATATGAAGGAAAATGGCCGTTATTCTGTCACTAAGTCAGCGTTTGTCCTGATCTCTTCTTTGAGGCCTTCCTGGAGGAGCAGCTCTCCTATCAGGACGCCAAATATCCCCGAAAAGTGAGCGATTTGTCGGGTTGGCAACCAGACGAGACGCTGTTGACGAACTTCTTCACGCCGCACTGCTGCGAGCCTGCAGAGAAACCGCCGCCAAACACCGAGAACGAGGTGGGAACACATCAGAAAACAGGAGAATATCCGGCGTGCAAAATGTTTCATCTTCCTGCTAAGAAAAGTGTTTCATTCTTTCAGCTCCTGCAAGCTTTCTACAGACAGCAGGACGAGATCAGAGGCCTGAGGGACAAACTGAACGAGAAAGATGTGAGTAAGGACACAGAAGGAGGCTAAAAAGTATGTGTTATTCTCTAAAATAATTTAAAAAATTGTCTTATTGAAGTGTTTGGAGCCTTGGGGACAAAATAGGTTATTTTCAGTGAAATGATAAGCATCAAAAAGGCCCAAAAAGTTATCGTACAGAAACGTAAGGTTGGTTTTTGAGTCTAATTCATCCTCAAATTATCATCTTTCATGGTCCAAGTTCTTCATTTCCTCTTTTGAGCATCTATTGTTGTCTGTTTCCCATTCTTTAATTCACTTGTTTTTGCATTATTTGTCGAGCACTATGAGCGACATCTCAGAGTTGATTTTAACATAGTTATGTTTTGTTGTACCTGTACAGGTGAGGATCTCTCAGCTGGAGCTAGACATCAGAAACACCAGAAACAACCTGAGGGCGACTTTCTGAACCAAACAAACAAATCAACATTTACAACAAATAAACTGAAAAACAGAGACATTTTAACCCGGTTATTATTTTAGCCCTTCTAAGATCATATATTCTTGCAGTAGCATTTAAAACAAAGTATTTCACATTAGAAATAAAAAGAATAGAAAATAAACAATTATACAATATAAAATTGCACATTTGAACATAAATACCATAATAATGAATAATCCTTAGCTCTAAAAATACTAATGTGTAATGTATGCACAATAACCCTGGATTAGAATACCATATTAAAACATTTTATTTTAAATTATATCGTCCTCTGGTGGACAAACTATGTAATGACAACACCTTTTTTTAAAGCATAGGTAGAAAGATACTCTGAGAATGAAGAACTTTGCTCAGACTAACAATCGCAATGTCAACGTACGTGAAACATTTCTACAAAATATAATTTTTTACAAAAAGTATTTATACCAATTCTGAAAGAAAAGTGTCATCGCCCTCTGGTGGACAAACGATGTAACTGCAACTCGTTTTAATGACTATATATTTCCCCCCCCCCCCCTAATTTATGTCTCAGAGGATCTTGTACGCAGATGTATTTTAGAAATAACCATTCATTTAACAACGCAATGTTAACTACGTGAAGATAACAAAATATTGTTATACCAGTCTCTGAAAAAATATATGTTGTCGCCCTCTGGTGGACAAACGATGTAACTGCAACTCGTTTTAATTACTATATATTCACCACCCCCCTAATTTATGTCTCAGAGGTTCTTGTACGCAGATGTATTTTAAAACCATTCATTTAACAACGCAATGTTAACTACGTGAAGACAACAAAATATTGTTATAATACTATATATAATATATGTTGTCGCCCTCTGGTGGACAAACTATGTAAGGACACGGATTTTCAAAATATTTTTATAATATCTAAACTGCAAACCTTCTTACAAAATGTCTAAAAAGCAAACATTTTGAAGGAGAAACCTGTGAAATAAAATGACGTGAGAGACAAAACGCACGAGAGGAGACGCCAGGAGCAAAATGTTAAGATTTTATTTACAAAGTCCTTTTTGTGTGTTTTTTTTTTGTTTGTTTTTCCTTTAACTTACAGAAAGTAAAAAAAAAAAAGAAAACACGTCAACTAGTCAGTGTAAGTGTCAAGGATCTCTCGACGGAGGAAGAGGAGGCATACATTGGGGGAGAGATGAAGAAGAGGAAGATTGGGGGGGGGAGACAAAGAGAGAGTGTCCCCAGACAACCATACGAAAAATTAAACAAAAAAACAATTTCTCTGAAAAAATATTTCTTTTAAAAAGCTCTGTTGGCAAAAAAGAGAGAACACAGTTTGCCCTGAGCGACTCGGCCTCGGGGGAGGAAGAGGAAGGAGGAGGAAGGGTTTTTTAGGAAGGGGGAGAAAACACGGAGGAAAGAGGGATTTGGCTTTTGCGTCCCACGAGCCCTCGTTTCCGTCCACAGAATTAAAGCTTTTTTTTTGCACGAAATTATTGATTTTGACAAAAGAAAAAATACACAAATACAAAAGAAAGGAGATTTTTACAACTTTTGTGACATGATAGATATTTATGATCTAGGAAATAAGAAGGAAACTGAAGCTCAAATAAAACTCAAGAAATAATGTGCTTCTATTGTGTTTTTCTGCCGTTTCCCTAAAAACAGGATGACGCTCTCACTTGTAAACGTGTTTTCAGGAACAATAACACTATGTCCTGAAACGCAAAAATAAATCTGGTGTTCTGTAATAAATGCCCCAAATCAGACCTTATTGATGCAGAAAAAATGACACGTTTTGAGTTTTAAATTTGAGGGAAATTCACAAAAAGCCTAATTTTAACACAAATGAACAACTTAGTTGAATTGGCTTTGTGAAAGGAACTCTTCCTCAGTTGGTCTTCATGTAAAAAGGAACGTTGTTTCTTAATGAACTCTTTCTGTCGCTGGAGTATTTAAGGGTAATTAGTGCCAGATTATTTTCAGTCATTTTCCAAACAGAAATGCCCAAATCCTCAGTTTCTAGCGTCATAAATGTGAGAATTTCTGCTGTTTTGTCTCCGAAATGATAATATCATGTTTTGGTTGATAAAATATGACGTTTAAGTTCTTCTCTGAGGGCGCGTAACGTGCATTCCTAATATTTTACGGACAAAACACTGAAACGAGATAGAAATCGGATATTAACTCGATGAAAAACATGATCTCCAGTTTGATTTTTGGTTTGTTTTGTGAATTTGAAACTCAGAAATGTGCATAAAAATACATTAGTTTGAGCTGTAAAGGAATATTTAGAGATCTGATGACGGCAGGAATTAAAAACGCCTGGAGTTTGTGGATCCTGACAAACTCTTTTTTGCAAAATCAGAAAAGGAGAACGAGGTGGTTTTGATGAATTAACGGAGTTTCGCTCTGCAGGATAACGAGGGCGTGGGAAATGGGACACACCCCGGGGGGGGAGGGGGAGGTCATGGAAGGGGGAGGGGTCACCGGGCCAGAGGTCAGAGGTTTTTTGGGGGTCTTTTCAGGGTCCTTAATCATCATCTTCCTCCTCTTCCTCCTCGGCTTCAGGCTCCCTCTTCCTCTTCTCTCCTTTAGCCGGAGACGAGTCTTCGTCTGCGGAAAGATTCAAACAGAACACGCTTTATCATTTGCTCCTTTCACTTGGTTCCCCTCTTTGTGCCGTCTCATTTGGGGGTTCATTTATTCTGCACCCTTCATTTTAATTGTATATATATTTATTTTCCTTGTTCTTTCCCTTCAATATTCATCTGTTTTCCTACCGTTTTACCTTTATTACTTTTTTTGTTTGCATTAATTTACTTTTCCTCTCATTTTATTTGTTTTTAAAAACATGTTCCCTGATTTGTGTTTATATTTATATTAATTTATTTTCCTGTTTTTCTTTTTACCTGTATTCAAATTATTTTTTGCATTTATTTTTTATTCACTTTCAGATTTCTTTCCCAATAAGTTTTTATTTCCATTTTGTTTTCTCTTAATTAAATATATATATAAATGTTTCCTAAATTTTGTATCTATTTATTTATTTCCTTTTTGTTCTCCCTTCATTTTAAATATATATATTTCCTTATGACTTTTTTCAGATTCTCTTTCTCATATTTTTTAGATAATCTTTTATTGATTTCTTACATTTTCAACTTCATTTTGTTTTTCAATGTTCTCCCCCCTCATTCATTAAAAGTGCTTTCTTCCTCTTTACTAACCAGACGAGCAGCAGCCTCGTAATCAAGGTTGCGTTCGAATACTCCAAAAAACAGCTCCTAAGTTCTAACCCTATCGTCTATTCCTTGACCTCTGAGTGAAAGGTCACGGGGTTAAGGGATAGTGGATAGGAGAATTCAAAAGGACTTAGGAGAAGAGACTGCGGCACTTTAGAGAATCGACTGCACTTTCACTATCCGACGTGTTTATGATGCGCCAGCAGAGGTCATAAATGTGCGCCTGCTGCTGTGGGTAAACTATGGAAACTACAGTTTTCTATACAGCGGACTACAACATGGATGTTTAATAAGAACGAGGGACTACTGTAAACTCATCTAGAGACTCTGCACCGTGCTCTGATGCTGTTGTTTTATGCTTTATGAACGGGGACAACAGAGAAACATATTCTTCATGACCAAAGTTGGAATTGAAATAAAAAAGGAAAGTGAAACTTATGCTCGTCACCCTCTCCCTCCGGTCCACATTAATACAAATGATCCCAATACGTATGATTGTATGAAAAGATCTTAAAATCAATACGACTGTTGTGTGATGGCAAATGCGGCGGCCGCAAGGCATTGTGGGACAGCACTTTCTCCTCTCCTGTCGGTGAGGGAGGTCCAGTGGTTCCTAGGCTAAAGGAGGTTATAAAGGAAGTTTGAAACCTCCTTTCATCTAGAGAATTCAAACGTCTCTCATCATGGCTGCCACTGAGGGACTTCCGGGTCATTTCACTCCGTGAGGAAGGTTCCTAAGCTAAACGGACTGCAACCCGACATCATAAATAATGCTCTCTGTTAAAAGCCCCCCCCTCATTTAATGTTTGTTTCTTAAAGCCCCCTCAGTTACTCACCACCACTATCGTCATCATCTTCATCGTCGTCGTCGTCCTCGCTGTCAACGTCTCCGTTCACCTCTCCGTCCTGCAGAGAGTTTGGTGTTAAAGACTTCATATCCCAGAATGCCTCAGGGTAAATTCCCCACATTCAGATTCAACCCCTCAAACTCTCAGATGAACTGTTTTATGTATTTAATGCGTTTAATAACTTTTAAAAATAAATATTAAACAGATATTTGCTAACAAGCTTTTGTTTTTAACCTATTTAGCGATAAAAGCTGAATTTTAGCGATTCTTTACGTCTTATTTTAGGAATACCGTCATAGAACAAAGACCACATCTCTGTATGTAGTGAAGTAGGTATTAAGTCAGAGTAAAAAGATTTAAAATAACTATAAAGAATACTCCGGGCTCAGAAATCAGTTATCATTTACGTCGTTAAAGCAGATTTAAGTAGACCACCTTATTATGTCCAAAGGCACTAATAACAAGTAAGAAAACAAAACAGTAAATACAAACAGGTACACTATACTTAAGTAAAAGTAATGCGGATAAATGGTAAATATATGTAAATAAAGCTCGTTGAGCCTCACCTCGTCGCTGTCGTCGTCGCTGTCTACTTCCTCAGCGGCGACGACATCCTCTTCGTCTTCCTCCTCCTCTTCATCAAAGTCCTCCGAATCGCCCTCTGAGACACAAACAGGAAGTGTGAGCGACGTCTAAATCTGTTCGTAAATCTCCTTTTTATTCCATTGTGAGACCACTTAGAATAAGGATGCTCAATTAGAACACATATATATGAAATACAAATGAATACTGATTCAATGACATTTAAATAACTTGTGAAATATGAATTAAATCCACATAAATGAGGTTAATTAAGTTCCACAAAGAACACAACATAAATATACAATATATAGAAATGAATTAGCCTCAAAATGTATTGGATTATATTTTGTCACAACCGACTGAAAACACTTTAATACAAATTAAATGTGATTGATTACATATTTTAAACAAAGCATTTAATAAATTAAAATAGAATAAAATAGGGCACAATGAAATGAAATTTACAGTATTTTTGGAACTTAAAGTATTTTTGGATCTTTGGACCCTTTCCATACATTTTAAGACTTCATCGCCACTTCAAGTTTTAACCGGTTACCTTGGCGACACACTTTACCTCACATTTACTATATTCAGTATTGATTGTCCTTCCTCCTTATCTTCCAACCATTTGGACGCAAACTTGCATTTCCCCATAACGATGTTGCTTAGCAACCGGCGTAAACGGACCGTCGCGCTATCAAGCAGTGAGCGTGCGATGTCCTGTTCAGATGACGTCAAACCCAACGGGACGCCATAAATAAACTACACAGAATCACACTACACACCTACGCAATGATTACATTCAGGCAGACTGTAGAATACAACCTCTGTGGACCATTTATATACTTATTGGAAACAAGCTACCAAATGTAATACCTTGGGAAATGCTGTTTAATACTTTTTAATAGCCTTCATTTTAAGACACAGCGGACACCCTGCAAATGAACTTCTTTCTGTATTGTATAACTAATTCGATGTTTCTGTCGCTGGAATATTTAAGGGAAATGAATGCCAGATTAGTTGTTTTTGTTTACCCAGTCCACCTCGTGTAATACATTTCCTGAATTAGTCATCATTGATTCAGAGAAATGGCACGTTTTGAGTTTTACATTTGAGGGAAATTCTTATTTTATAGCTCATTTGATAACATCACAAAAAGCCACATTTTGAACAGTGAAAAATCCTCCTTTTGCATTTCCATAAATGTGAGATCTTCTGCTGGTTTCTCTCCTAAATGATAATATAATCTTTTGGTTAATAACATTTGACGTGTAGAACTTCTCTGAGGAATATAATATAATAATAATAATATAATATAATCATTTTTTTATATTTTATGGAGAAAAAGCTGAACCGAGAAAGAAATCGATGACAAACATGATCTCTAGTTTGATCTCTGATATGTTTATGAGTATATTGTTATAAATAAACGCTTGTGTTTAATGAACTTCTTTCTGTATTTTATAATTAATTAGATGTTTTCTGTCGCTGGAGTATTTATAGGAAATTAATGTCAGATCAGACGATTCGTTTACCCAGTCCTTCCTCGTCCTCATCGTCGACCACTTCTCCGTCGGAGTCGGACGCCTCGCAGTCGTCGATGTCGTACCCGTCCAGATAGGTGAGTTGTGGGAGGAGCTTAAAGATGGAGTCTCTGTAGTCCGCCAGGTTCGTGACCTCGCAGTTAAACAGGTCCAGGCTCTTCAGGTGCGGGAGCTTTTTCTGCAGAAAGAAAAAAAAAACACAACGTTATTATTAAACTGAATTACCTGATTTAAAACTAAAAACAACCGCCTGTTTAAATGATGGTCGGTGAAGTATCTGTACGTTTCCTTATACTGCTTTATATATATATTTGTATTTCTATCTGTTCTAAAAACAAATATCCACATTTGACTATAAATCTAAATAGTATTTACATTTCCGACGGTCCCTGAATGCATCACAAAAGGCTAAGACAGTGAAATCTGATCATAAAACGTATTATTTCCTTATGCTGCTGTATATATATTTATGTTTTTTCTGTTGTGTATCTGCTCAAAAACAAATATCCTAATTGGACTATAAATCTGAATAGTATTTACATTTCCGACGGTCCCTGAATGCATCACAAAAGGCTAAGACAGTGATATGTCCTCATAAAATGTTTTATTCTACTTGTCTTGTTCAAAATGTCGCCAATAATAACGCGTTTGTTTTCGTCATATTCTGTAAAAAACATTAAATTCTGCACTTCTCAGAGAAACTGCAGAGCCATGAGCGACTCCGCTGAGACAAACAGTGAAGGGAATACAATTCGGTGAATAGTAGACAAATTCATTTAATTACAAGGAAAAATAAGGCCACAGGAGGGAAATGTGATAACCCGAAGATAGGAACATTTTTATCATAAATTGTGTTATTCTAAACATCTGGTTTAGAATTTCACCAAAAATGTACAGTTTGAATTAAAAAGATTCTGGCAAAAACATTAAATTCTGCATTTCTTAACGCAACTATGAAGCCTTGAATGACTACACTGGGACCTTTAATGATTTTACAAAAATTCGGTGAACCTGGGAATGTTTAGTCCTGTGGAGACCGTTTTTCTCCATTATAGGAAAACAGTTGGACAAGTTTTAATATGACAAAGAAATCCAACACAATTTAGCACTTATTTTTAAATGAAATCTCTTCAATATAACCATGAATTATAGTGTGTGTAAAAGAGAGTCCACCCACCAGAGGCTCCAGTGTACCGATGTCTTTGAACTTGTTCCCGCTCAGGTTCAGGTGCGTTAGGTTCACGAGTCGCTCGGACAGCAGCTCCAAACCTCCTGATATCCTGTTGTCACTCAGCTCCAACTGCACACAAACAAACACTTATTATTTACTGCTCACTGCACACAAACAAACAAACAAAACATCATCAGGGGGCTTCTATACAGATATAGTATGAGTACTGTGCCGCTGATCTTGTTTATAAGATATATCAACATGACGCCCGTGTACAAGATGGCGACGCGGACGTTAACAACAACGTGACGTCGGAGCGCCGTAAAAACAAAGCTGTCTCCGCCGGCTGACGCTCTGTTTGATGCTCAGATTCCTGGAGTCATTATACCGTTTTTTGGGGAACAGAAATATTGGTTTCTGGCATTACTTGAACCTTTAACGGGGAAAATCTGCAGAGGAGCAATTACTCTGAGCTTTATTGACAAAGTGTGTGAAGACAAACACAGGATATGACCCTGGGGTGTTTACTGCTTTGATGTAAACATGAAAAGAAACAAAACAGCTGGAGTGCAGACAATAGTATGTTTAAAAACAACATTTATAACCAATTAGTCAATTCATAAAAGAAAACGCTTTAAGAAGAACTGGGAAAAGCGCTGTTTTTAACGTATTATTATTACTATTTACTGATGGAGGGAAACACATGTGTTCACTGTTGGAGATGGCACATCGAAGTCATTCAATGCAAACAGTGTTCATCCATTCGTCTCACAAAGGACATCGCATGAAAACATGACATTTCCTCTTTTTTAGCCATTAAGAGACGAAAATCGCTAAATTAAAAAAGGACGGTCTTTAAATTGACTTTTAAAATCTCCAATGGAGTTTGCTGTTTTAAGATCCAATGGGAGGATCTGAGTGTCCTTGTTTGTCGGGGGCCAGTTGACGTAAAGCACTTTAAAACAGGCTCTGAAAGACTCGAGGGGTGCGTTTGATTGGCTCACCTTTTTGAGTTTGTCCAGTTTGGGGATGTCTGCGACGCTCGTCAGGCCCACGTTGATGAGGCTCAGCAGCTCCAGGTTCGAGAACTCTTCCGTGATTCCCTCGATCTTTCCCTCTCCGGAGCGACAGTTATCCAGAACCAGCTCCTGGACCTGAGGGAGAGAGAAGAGACGGGTAAATGACAACAGTATCACGACGCGTTCAAAGACTCAGTGTAGTCTGATAAGCAAAGAAATATAAGAAGCTACAAGGAACAGTTTGTGGTTCCTATGATTTATATGAACACAACTAACCTTCTTGACATACACATTGATTTTAGTGCTTTAACATATTTTCTTTTTTCCCCATGGTCACCAAGACTTTAAATAATTATTTTCATTAACACATTTCCGAGTGATAACCTTTTCGTCTCATAACTATTTTTACATCCATGTGACATCCCTCTAGCCAACATATGCCGATAGCTTAGCTTCTTATGAAAAGAACCACGTATATTACTTGATTGTGCAGCACAGGGTTCATGTTTTAAAAGCATTTTCCACCCCAAAAAAACAGGCGAGCCAAACAGGGCTTAGACCTCAGAGTTAAACAAACATGATTTTATTTTCACTGTTTTTTAAAATAAATAATCCTGATTTCACGACTGATCAGTGATTTTTAATGTGATCTATAAGTATCAAACATGTACTGTTATTGACATGAAAAGCTAAGTACAGTATATGAGAAATTACTAGATGTGGGATTTACATTAAAAAAACACAAGTAAATCTACAAAAACATGTCATTTTTAGCACTTTTTTGCTAAGCCTTCTAAATACAAACTGTGTCTTATAAGTATAATTAAAGCATGTTATATCCACTTATAGGACTGTTGTGCAGAGGTGGAAAGTAACTCGGCACATTACACTACTTTATTCTTCTACACGACTGCATCTTGGCAGCAATCTTTACTATCTTACTTCAGAAATTCAGATTTTGACACATAACTTGGGATAAACTCTTAAATTATGAGTATTTGGTATATATTTAACCGTGCAACATTATCTTTAAGGGACACAAACCATGAGTGGGTAGCAGAAAGATAATTGCCATTACTAAGAAGTGAATAGTTTAAAACAGATCCGACTCTTTACATATTAAGATTTGCAGCTTTTGCTTCAAAATATTTATATTATTATTATTTTCTGCAATTCATACTTTACGTACATCTTCCCAATCACACTTAAATACTTTACAGTGTGGTTTTAGTACTTTTACTCAATTAAATAAGCTAAATACGGTTTCCTCTACTGTTGTGTGTGTAAAGGACTCTTGCTGCACACAAAAAATGAGCAAATCAACAAAAAAAGTGTTAATTTTAGCCCCTTTTTGCTTAATGTTTAAGTTTCTGCAGCCTTAAAAATACAAACTGTGTTGTTTAAACATTATTAAACAGTTTAATATCCAGTTAAAGTGACTGTTGTGTGTGTGAAGGACTCATGTTCAGTTGCATGTTGGAACGCACCCCGGCCCACACTGTTGATAAACTCCACACACATGTGACTAGGCTAGCTGCTAGCTCTCTGCTAACACATTTGCTTCATTATTAAACCATCTAATCTCATCACAACTGAGTCAGACTACATCCGTTTAAGGACATTAGCTTATTGAGAGTGTTTTAAGTGAATAATGGAGGTAATTATAGCGAAGTAACAGGATGAAAGTAGCCTCTTTAGCAGAGCTACGCGCCCTTAGCATGTTAGCTCCGGCCGTTGAAGCTGATTTTTATGAATGGGCGTAGCGGCCAAACGGTGGTACTACAACTCCCGTGACGTCATATTGGCCTAAAAAAGACGTTCACCCATCCACTTACACAGGGGTAATAAACGTCTGTAAATCAGCGTATTATATATTTTAAAGCTAAATAAAATAGCCAGCACGAACACCTGTATTCCCCTTGATTTAATAATTACATTTAAAAAGTTGTAAAATGCTCTAAAAGCTGAATCCAGACACATTTACCTCTCCATTCATTTGATTGACAGAGAGCGGGAGATCGGAGGCGGGGCTTAAGGGAAAGTGAAGTGCGCATGCGCTGTAAGCATGATCCGGCTACTTTCTGAATCTACAGCGGCTACATTATGGGCTTCATGCGACACTGAGCGACTCTCGTAGGAATGAACGGAGTTTCCATTTCTCTTTATAAACCCACGCTAGGGCTCTGACTAATCCCTGGAGAGGCGACAATATCAACAACGTACATCTTTCAGCTCTTACTTATACAACTCAAACGTTTTAAAGAGTCACTTTAAAATGTGTTTTAGTTTTAATAAAATAACGTGCTGATGTGTTTACCCGCGTTTTAAGTGTGTGTGAAAAACAATGACGCATTTCCTGCTCAACACGAGTATTAAAAGAAACAGTCTAAATAAATTATATATTTAAGGTATTTGGCTACTTCATTTCAAGATGGGGGTTTAAGTTATTACACAGAGAAGAATAAATAATGCTGTGTGTTAAAATTGTGTAACACCACGTTATGCAACGCAGATAAACACCGCGTTATAACTCTGAAATCATGCGGCTCCAGGTATTAGACGGACCCGGGACACACGGATGTGCCTCTCAGTGTTAAACTATGCGGTGCATGCACGCTTTCTTCCACTGAATCAACTTTTTAAACACAGTTTAACAATATGCATGCACATTTAACGTGTAAATATGAACATTAAGTGGGGAAACGTAGAAATAAAAACAAGGCGGTAAACATCTGCGCACCTAGTGTGTTTAAAGAGAATTAAATATGTTTAAAAAGCAGCCAATTAAATCGTTTGGAAGACTTTGGTGCAGCTTGCAGCCCAGGACCACATAGTAAATACACATTTGAGCACTTTTCCCTGCAGACTCCCTGCCATGTGCTCGCCATCCCTCCTGTTTTCGGACCGGTTAAAGTTTACACCTCGACCCGAAAAACAGCACCATTCTCCGGGTACTCACTTCTGTGGGCGAGCGGTGCCGCAGCTCTAAGGAAACCCTCTTCTTCATGTCCATTTTCCTCTGGTTTTGGCCTGAGTTTGGGTCTCTAGCGATGCGACAAAACTTGTTTCTCTTCGGATCCTCTTCAGTATCAACACGCGGAAACCAGCGTGAAGCTAGATGGAGTAAAAACACGCAGCACTTCCGGTTGAGCCTTCAAAATAAAACGGAAGGAGTCAGATTTCCTTTAATCGCCCCGCAATAAACAGAGACAACAATTAAAAAACACTTTTTAAAGGGAATGCATTCAATTAAAGCTACTTACACACTTGTTTTATGCATTTATAGTTCACTATGTTTACAGTAGAGTATTTTAATTAATTCAGTATGTTTAATAATGTTTAGATAATCCTCTGAATATAGGAATGTTTAACTGAGAATATATATACATATTGTTTATTTACATATACACATGTCTTATCGGTGCTAAAGCAAAAAAATAATATATATATATCCCAAATTGTGATCAATAAAGTATATTTTATTTTGAAGGAAGACTAGTGTGCTTCCGGTGCTTCTCGACCCTTTCCTGTGAAACTTGACGTGAATGCGTGGCGCGTCTGAAAAGTGGGTCATTCGGGACGCTGATTTTATTTGTCCTCGAAAATATCAGAAATCCACATTTACGACACAACAACTGGATAAAATAAACCGTGTTTTTACATATTAACAAAGTAGGCTTCATTAAATAGAGGGTGGGAATACATACAGTTATCACAACGTGTTTTAAAGTGTATATTTAAGATAATTTCATACATATATTAAGATAATAATAATCCCTCCACTTTAATCTGTCTTAAAGTTCATTTTTTTATATAGAAAATAAGAATTAAACGGTATATGTGTCGTACAGTTACATTTGTTATTATTCCTGACAGCAAAAAAGGTTGATTTCGCGCGAAAAGTCACATTTTGCTGTACTGATGTTATAAATTCCGAGTTTCTGAGAAGCACTTGAATGCCTCCACATGTTGATTTGTAAAAGGAGGGAAACAGCAGTGAGAGAAAACAGCTCCACAGCGCCACTAGCGGACAATATGTGTCATTACACAAGAAAACAAAACATTTATTCAATAAAATCTCAAATATATATACTTTTTACAGCTTCTGTAATTGTGAAGACAGTATTTATAAAAAAATGATATATAATTTATGTATTTAAATTAGCAGTTATATCTCTTTGTGTGTCATTTACACACAGTTTATTGGACTAAAGTGTCTTTATATTGCATATTTTTAATCTGTAAACCTTTGTAAAACCTCTAGAATATATATTTTTCTTCTGATAAATACATTTAGACATATAAGGTTAGAAACATGCCAATTTTCTTAATTAAAATATACGAAAAATCACAAAAAACTATAGAAAATGAAATATTTCAAAAACAGATTGGACAGCAGATTTTAACCATAGTGTTAATTCTTTATTGTCATAACATCGTAGATCATCTTCACGACAAGCAGTTATATATACAGTGGTCTTAGATTATATCAGCATCCAATATGAGGAGAGCAACACTTAGTTAGTATCACAGCTAGCTTTTTCCATGAACCACCCCCCAATATATAACCCTAAAAACCCTCCTCCATGTCTCACACTAATGTATTAACAACCGTCAACAGACAGGACATAGGAATAAATAAATACATACATACAATACATAAATAAACAGCAACACGGTGTGTATCATCACACACACACACGTAGCTCACCAGAAGACACCATAGAGGCTGAAAGGGCTAATTTAAAAGCCACAAGGCAAACAGTTAAACGCAGACCAAGGACACGTTTTATCTGCGGTGCATTAAGGTGGGGTCGGAATAATCGGAAAGCTTAATTCCAGACTGGAACCGATGTTATCAGCCTATTAAAAAAGGCGTTATCAACCGGCTAAACCAATTAGACAGTTGTATGATAGATTTTTTTTACATAGATCCTAGATTCCCGTGTCAAACAGACGAATTGTTGTTTTGTTTGTGTTTACAATGTTCAGTTTACTTAACACACGTAATGATTGTAATCCAAATCATCATTCTTTCCTCAACAAGTTTTCTTTTTCGCCCTAACCTAAAGAAGTTGTAGTCATTTAGATAGTTTTGTTTCCAAAAGAAGACGTAGTTTTGTCGCCCAAATCAAAAACGTTGGAGTTTTGTGCATAAAACTAAAAATAGTTGCAGTTTGTTTCCTTAAAAGGTTCAATATGTATTGCTTATCTAAACCTAAAGAGCATCATTTTCTCGGCTATACTAAAAGAAGTTGACATTTTAAACCCAAAAAAGGTTGTGGTTTTTGGGCCTAAAATCTAAAGAAGTATTAGTTTGGTTTCCTAAGAAAGTTCAAGATCGGTTGCCCACCGAAACCTAAAGAAGATTCGTTTTCTCGGCTATACATTAAGAAGTTGTACGTTTGTTGCCTTGACGTAACAAATCATTCGATTTTTCTTGTTAAAACAGGTTATTCTAAGCTTCACTTTGACATCGTAGCAGCTGTAAATTGATTGTATAGCATAGTAGTTTGTAAAGCAGGCACCATATGACTTTTATTAGACTGATAACCAATCATAATGCTCATTTAATAGGCTGATAACATTAGAAAATTGGTCAGAAAACTCCAGTTAATGCCCCTAAAGTCCGAACCACTCGGAAAACGGGCGAACATTTTGGTCCATGACTTTCCCAGTTTAAGAGATATTACTTTGGAGCTGTGATGCATTCGAGGACAGGCTGTACAATTGCCTCTTTAGTCTGTCAGTTTTAGAGACTGAATTTGAAGTGAGGCAGTCTCTTTAAGGTGAAAAGGGGGAATAACTTAAGTAACACTGTACAAGTCCCTCATTGAGGTTAGAATACACGTCGCCATAGAGGGCAAATCAGCATGACGGGGAAAAAAAACCAAATAAAACGAGTAAAAAGAGCAGCAAAACAATTCTGTTTACACAAATAAATAAAAATATTCAAGAAAATCCAAGTTTTAAAGCACGTTGTCATTTGGAGAAGAGTGCTATACAACTATAGCATATAAAATAAATAGCTGAACGATAGAAAATAAAGAGTAAACATCCGTTAACATCCAGCATGACACACATCTCCCCGATTGATCTTATGGAAAACCATCTTCAGCAGAAGTACACAGTCGCATGCAGCTCACAGACGATCCACAGGCGGACTCAGAAAACAGGTTTCAGACGGAAACAAAGACAAATAAAACACAAAAAAAACTCAACTTTTACAACCAGAAAAGCAGGATATGGCAGAAAGATAGATTGTAAAGTTAGTTTGTGCTTTAGAAATGTCCACGTTGTTATTATCTTATCTCTTCCTTGTTATTGTTAGATCCTCATTTATTGCCTTGGTACTCGATGTGTATTTGACTGAAGACAGATCGTATGTTTCAATAGTATTTATATTTGTGTCAAGATCTCAAGTTCCAATCCTCCTGTTATAAAATATCCTTTTGTAAACTATTGTCAACTAAGAATGACAAAGGACTCATTTAATCGCTGTGGGGTAACATGTCTCGACTCGTTAGGTATTCAAAATACACGTTCAGAGTGCAATAGATACCCCTACTCTAATAGAAGTTATTGTACGTTTTGAAACACCAAAAAGGTACTGTTTAAACTCTGAAATACCTCATAGCTATACATTAACAACGACAGAAAAGTCTGGTTTCTGGTGTCCATCAGAAGGTAAAAACATCCACAAATATAAATCAGGGAATGGGAGAAACATGTTTAAGTATTATCTTTAAAAAATGTTCCTAGTTAGATTTTGGTTTAGTCCGCGCCCGTAAAGTCCGGAAATTAGCATTTATTTGATCCTTTAAACCCAAATTAATTCTGGATACATAACGTTTCTTTGAGTTTAAACATATTCAGTTTTCAGGCGATAAAAATATGTTTACTTTTAAGTATTCTGCTCAACACTACAAGTACTGGAATGTGAAGTGAAAGGCTAGCCGGTTAGCCACATCTGTTACATTAGCATTAGCCATGCTAGCATAGATTTTTGTTATAAACTCAGGCGTAATAAATATTGCCTGGATAGAAAAAACCCTAAGCTTTTTTTATTTACTAATATGGACGACATGTTAAATATTCAATATAATATCCGAGAAGTTTTAGAAATGTTAATCATAGTCCGATCTTTGACACAATTCAGTGTGTAATGTACAATGGAGTCGATATTAACGCAGCACCAAACTGACACCCATTCCAACAACTGGTGTAAATATTACTAAGTTCTTCAGTCTTCATTTGTAGTTTGAACAGACCAACAACACAAGAGGACAGACCATTTTAATAATGCTTCAACAATTCCTTTACACCCCTATAACTGACACAAATGGACTCATCCGTCTAATTCTATGTAAACATACTGATGGTTTACATGTCCCTTAAAACTATCGATCTAGTTTCCAAAATCCAAGAGCTTTTAACAATAAATAACCTCTTTTATAAGTTCTTAGTTAGAGTAGACTGTTCAATACTGCCTTATAGGAACACATTTGATGTATGAACACACTATGATGGAGGAACAGTTATAGCCATCGTAAAAGTCCCACTTTAGAGCGATTGTAAGTGATCAAATCCATAAAGAACTGGTATCACCAACACTGACCGCTAACTGACAGAACAGGAACTCTGCAGAACATTAAGATGTGATTTTATACGCCATCAGGCAACCTTAAGGGTTACTTCTTGATGTTCTGATTAAACTTGAATACATTAAAAACCCTCCAGAAACGTTCCTGTTATATAGTTCAAAGTGCCGCCAACGTTCTAGAATGTTTCCTTCCTGTGGACCTATCATGCTATATTATAATAATATAGTGTAGGACCATACCTATATAAGGCATATTTATACTTTTTTTTTTTCAAAATACCAAACAGATCATGCATTTTAGCCATGCCTCATTTTGCTCAATTTGACATTTTTTACCCCTGTTTTTGCAAGGGCTGATTCTGTGAGAACAGCACCATCTAGAGGCCTGGCATATGTACTACAGCGTCTCCAGCGCTTTCGAACGGCAATGGCCGTGGCTGTCTCCTCCTGATTGGTGGAGTTGGCCCAATAGCCGTAGCGCCACCGTCCTGACGTCAGGACAGTGTTCAAATCTGGATCAGTTTTTATCAGATCCGTTGCAGCCCCTTTTTTAGAGATTTGGGTATGGAGGAAAATAGAGAGGGTTGTGTTTTCTGACACTTGGTGAGTTCCCTGGAACACCGGGGACACATATTCATGTAGAAAAGACGTACAAAAGTGCATTTTGCATGATAGGTCCCCTTTAAATCTTATTGGTCGATACGAAGATTCCGGAATGAAACACGTTCCTGTTATGGTTCAAAATACCGCCAAGGTTCTAGAATGTTCAAACCGTTCTCTTGAATCTTATTGGACGATACGGAGATACCGGAATTAAATAAAACAACGTTTCTGGATAATTCCGTCGGCAACAATGTCACCAAAGTTCTAGTATGTTCCTGCGGCTCCAGTTAAAGCTATTACTATCGTTAAAACTGATCAACAATAGGACGGTTATCATTTCCTTAGAGACGCAGACAGTTTCTAGAACGTTTGAGAGACTTTTAAAGGCCTCTTCACACCGAAAAGACCAAAACAAAGTTAGTGTTTTTGATAGATTGTATATATTCGATCTGGTTTGTTTAAAAATGTAACAATGCAAATCTTTTTAACGCAGTAAAGAACCGTACATGACGTTCACTCATACATGATCTGCGTCTTACTATTCTTGACAGCGAGGTGTCAATTCAGCTGATAGCCTCCTATCACATATTGAAGTAATGGAAATCAATGAATGTACATTTCGTTGCTGCTCTAATAATCTTACGGCACTACAAGCAGCAACAGATTCTGTATTATCTTGATCTTCATGTGTGCTTATTTCCCCATCCTCTTTCCTAACCTCTCAGGAAAATGCCAATGAAGTCGACGTAGCAAAACCGAGTTTGGTCATTTTGGTTAAAGTGTGGTCTCTTGTCCCCTTGTGTGATTCCCTGGCCTTTCGTTTGTTGGGTTGTTTTTCCTTTCTGCAGTTCTGAACATTACCTCTCCAAATGTTCTGTACGGTTACATCATTGGTCCAAAGTTTCAACCATTTAAATAAAAGGTCTTAAGGCCTAGAAATAAACTATGGTTCAGTTTCCACAACCGTCATTCTCATCGGGATCCATCTCTGAAAGTTGAGAAGTCTGCACCAAAACTGTGGAAAGACCAGAATGTTCTGATCGTAGTTCTAGATATATACGACTTAAAACAGGGATTTCAGAACGGCTACCACTGAGTCCTGCATGCAAAAGCCACGAATAAGACGAGTTAACAAACCTTTACTCGACACAGAACACACAACACTGTGGATGGGTAACTCAGAGTATTGCAAAGATAGAAAAACAAGCATTTATCCTCTGAAAACCCACAATTGATCTGTTCCCCAAACCCGAGTGGGAAATCACAAGCTGTTTGTCGACCCTTAAAACATATTAAATATATTAAAAGATCAATCAACGACCGATCGTCTTTCTGTAAAGATCTACTTATTGCAGATACGGCTTTATTCCAAAGAAAACCCCAAAATCTCATAGCTATACGTTAAAAACAACTGAAAAGTCTTGTTTCTGGTGTCCGTCATACAGCGGCAAGGTAAACACATCCAAACATATCAAATCAGGGAATGGAAATAACATGTTTAAGTTGTATATCTTTAAAAAAAAAATCATAGTTAGTAAATATTAGTGAGATTTTGGTTTAGTCCGCGCCCGTAAAGTCCGGAAATTAGCCCAAATTAATTCTGGATACATAAAGTTTCTTTGTATTTGAACATATTCAGTTTTCAGGCGATAAAAACGTTTACTTTAAAGTATTCTGCTCAACACTAAAAGTACTGGAATGTGAAGTGAAAGGCTAGCCGGTTAGCCACATCTGGGACATTAGCATTAGCCATGCTAGCACAGATTTTGTAGTAAATCCAGGGCGTCCGATCACTGATTCGGCAGGTTCATGCGTTCAGCCATTGAGCGGACACTCTAAGAAAAGGCAGGATCAAGAGATATAGTCAAAAAGCAAAAAGCTGTATACATTATGGAGCCATGCTGAGAGGCTAGCCAAAGGAAGGGAAAGAGAGCGATAGAAGGTGGGGAAGACCCTGAAAGATGCTTAAGACAATCACAGGAAGGCAAGTCAAGGTAGGAAAGACAGCAAGAAGAAGACGGCGTCGCAGATTATCGGACTTTGTGCTTTCTCGGTCATATAGAGTAGGTAACAGCTCACATACAGACATGCACATGCACATTTACCCCGTAACTCAAGTCTGCAAAGCCTCTTTAGTATCCACTGCTGCCCGGCGACATCATGAGCGTCCATTTAAATCCCTCGTTTCTACTTCTCTTCTGCATCGAATCCCGCCCAAAATCTTCCTCTCGGTCCGTTTTGTGAAAGCACAGAAGAAGAAGAAGAAGAAGAAGAAGAAGAATAAGAAGAAGAAGAAGAAGAAGAAGAAGAAGAAGAAGAAGAAGGAGTAGAAGGATTGTTGTTTATGTAAATACTGGATTCATACTGGGAGGATGTAAGGGTCCTAATGGGGCAGCGGCACCAGGATATCCACATAGTTGATGGGGAAGAAGCCCGATTGGCCGTTGATCATCCCCTCGTACCAGTTGTCGTCGATCTGATTGGTCAGGGTGATCACGTCGCCTTCTTTGAAACCAAGTTCGCCTTCGTTCTCCGGCTCAAAGTCGTACAGCGCTCGGCAGCAGGGCTGGTCCAACGGGGCTGAAAAACAAACATATTAGAGAGATTTTATCAGTAAATACCCCACTGGTGGATTTAAAAACAGCACTCCCTAACAAGTGTCTATGAGACGACTAAAGGTCATCACAGCCAACATTAGCCGCCTTTAGCTTAGCGGTGGTGACGTGAAGTCATGTGACCGTGCTGTAGTTCCTTTATAGCCCAACATTAGCCACCTTTAGCTTAGCGGTGGTGACGTGACGTCATGTGACCGTGCTGTAGTTCCTTTATAGCCCAACATTAGCCACCTTTAGCTTAGCGGTGGTGACGTGAAGTCATGTGACCGTACTGTAGTTCCTCTATAGCCCAACATTAGCCTCCTTTAGCTTAGCGGTGGTGACTTGAAGTCATGTAACCGTGCTGTAGTTCCTTTATAGCCCAACATTAGCCACCTTTAGCTTAGCGGTGGTGACGTGAAGTCATGTGACCGTACTGTAGTTCCTCTATAGCCCAACATTAGCCTCCTTTAGCTTAGCGGTGGTGACGTGAAGTCATGTGACCGTGCTGTAGTTCCTTTATAGCCCAACATTAGCCTCCTTTAGCTTAGCGGTGGTGACGTGAAGTCATGTGACCGTGCTGTAGTTCCTTTATAGCCCAACATTAGCCTCCTTTAGCTTAGCGGTGGTGACGTGAAGTCATGTGACCGTACTGTAGTTCCTCTATAGCCCAACATTAGCCTCCTTTAGCTTAGCGGTGGTGACGTGAAGTCATGTGACCGTGCTGTAGTTCCTTTATAGCCCAACATTAGCCTCCTTTAGCTTAGCGGTGGTGACGTGAAGTCATGTGACCGTGCTGTAGTTCCTTTATAGCCCAACATTAGCCTCCTTTAGCTTAGCGGTGGTGACGTGACGTCATGTGACCGTGCTGTAGTTCCTCTATAGCCCAACATTAGCCGCCTTTAGCTTAGCGGTGGTGACGTGACGTCATGTGACCGTGATATTGTTTTGTACCTGGTGATCTCCCGGGGGATTTGGCAGAGTTTATCCCCCCGTTGAGGCTCTCTGTGGGCGGCAGCAGCTCCAGAGTCGTCCGGGGTTTGGGAATGTACTCCTTCCTCGGTTTGGTGGACACTTGCTTTATCCTGGAGGGACACACATCGGGGATATACATTTAAATTGATTAATTGGTCAAAACTCTGCAGTTAATAGAAAATGACAACAATTAGGATGAATAAGTTGATTAATTAAAATAGCTGCAAAACAATCCCTAGAATTCTGGAAATACAAAAAATAAATGCTTGAATGAATAAACCAGCGACGGTGTTACCTGTCCTCCATCTTGCTGGAGAGCTGCTGCAGGATCTGTGCAGAACGACTGTGGAACTCCAGCTGAGCCGAAACCAACGCTGCCAGCTGACTCACCTGCTCTATCTACACACACACACACACACACACACACACACACACACACACACACACACACACACACACACACACACACACACACACACACACACACACACACACACACACACACACACACACACACACACACACACACACACACACACACACACATACACACACACACACACACACACACACACACACACAACTCAAAGGTGAGCAAATGCTGTTTTCCGTCTCTCTCGGTCGGACAGATCTAGACATCTGATTGGTTAACCGTGATGATAATTGGCAGGTTAATTGGCAGGTTAATTGGTATGTTAATTGATGCATCCTCACGTCGCTCTCCAGCAGGTTGAACATGCTCTGCTCGGCGATCTCTTTGCTCTCGTCGAACTTCTCCAGCGCCTGTTTGATCTCCTCGTCCTGAACCTTCCCCTGACGCTTCTTCTTATAGTCGAAGTCCAGGCGGCGGCCCTCCATCTTCTTCAGGTGGTGCTGCGGGACACACAGGGGAAGAGAGGGACATACATTTGGAGGATATGATGTTAGGCTGCTTCTTCTACGTGTTCGTCACCATTTGTAGTCATTTTTATCCTTAATGTTTTAGACCATATTATATTAAAGTATAATAATCTCGTCATTTTGAGAGCTTTTAAAAACATATAATATATGATATTATGGTGGTGCTGCAGGACACACAGGTACAAGAAGAACATTAAATATGGAGGAAGGTTATTCTATGCTAATTCTTCTACGTGTTCGTCACATTTTTTTTGTTTTTCGTCCTTACTGGTTTCATTATTATTATTTTTTAATAATAATAATCTCGTAATTTGAGAGCTTGTTTTCAAATAAAAAGATATATATAATTAAGTCATTAAATACAGATAAAAAAGGATTAAATGCAAAGGCTAATTAGCTGCAATAAAATACAATTAAAAATAGATAAAAGTCACAAATAAATTAAATATAATAATTAAATGGAAAATGGAAAAAATACATTAAAAATATTAAATACAATAAATTGGATAATTTGTTTTTAACACTAAAAATAAAATAAAAATAAATGAAAATGTTAAATAAAATATATAAAATAAAGTCAAGATTATTAATAATAATAATACATTGGATTTCTATAGTGCTTTTCCGAATGCTCAAAGACGCTTAACCTTCTTGATTAAGTAGATTAAATAGATTAGACAGAGTAAAATAAATACATTCCAGTAAAATACAATTAAATTGATTAAATACAGGAAATAGGACGATATAATAAAACACAGATTGATATGTTCCTCACATGAGACCTGGATCCTATGCTGCAGTTTTTAGTGTATATTTAATAGTTTTTCTTTGCACCTGGATCTCCTTGAGGTCCTTGTCGTAGAGGTTCTGCAGCGGGTCGATGAAGTTCTGTTTGACCTCGATATCCAGAGCGTCCTTCACCTCGCCGAGCTCCTTCATCGCCTCGCTGGCGTCCATCAGAGCCAGGCCTGAAGGGAACACAGAGCAATACGTATGATACAACTGTTATGAAACACCTCTGATCCCCACGGGTTATTAAGTGTTTCAGTTTGAATTAATAAAAAGGGAAAAACACTTCTGCAAAAAACTGAATATTGCGATTAGAACGGATTGTTCAAATGAGTATAAATAAAATAAAGTTATGCAAAAATAATCCCCAGAAAAAGTTTAATTTATAATTTATTTATTTATTCAACCAAATAAATAATAATATTTAAAATTATGCAAACATTTTTAGATTTTTTAAATTATGATTGAGAAATACATAAAAAATGTGAAAATAAATTAAAGTTATGTAAAAAAATTTGAGTCTAGATAATTTGATAGTTTAAAATAAATAGTAATAAATAAAAACTTTAGCAAAAAACCCTAGAATTTAGCAATTAGGATTAATAATTTTAAATAATACAAATTCAAAAATAAAATACAGTTAATGCAAAAAAAGCCTTAGAATTTTGCATTAACTTAAGATCATTAGGCAATTCAATAATAAGATAATTAGATATTAAAATAGAATACAGTTATGAAAAAAAGACACTTAGGATACAAACCTTTTATAGATGAATTAAGATAATCAAGAGACGTAAAATAAAGTAAACTTGCACCAAAAAAACCCAGATATTTATCTCACTGTTACACTTTTCTTTCCTGCAGATGAAATACTAATGTGTAATACATAGAGAGATGTGATGGATGAATATTGGACGCATGTGATGACTCCATTCTGGAGAGGATCAGAAGTACATGGATCCTGAGATTGAAGCTCCAGGGAGATTTCTCTAACAGTGTGTAATAAATAGAGAGACGTGTGATGGACGGATAGTGACGCACCGAAGCTGGACTCGTCCCCCAGCTCTCGTCCGAAGCGCAGCATGGCGTCCCCCAGAACGCTCTCCGCCTGCGGGTAGCCCGGACCCTTCTCCTGCCCGCGCATCTTAGACATCGTGCTGATCATACTCAACTTCGCCCGGGACGCTGAGTGGGAAACATCGTTAAGAATATTATTAGATACGGTAGAATTAAATACAATAAAACAGATATTTAATAGATAACAGACGATAGAATATATAGATTTTAGTAAAATAAATCCAACAATTACATTTATAAAATACACAAAGTAGATTAATTTAATATAAATGAAATATAATTCAATAGATCAAATATAATAAGATAAAATAATAAAATAGATAAAAAGAAAGCCAATTATCCTCCTTTAATACAGGACATTTATTCATAAATAAATGTGTAATTAAATAAAAAGAAATACAATAAATTATATCAAAATGTAATTAAATCAAACCTTTAATAAAAAATAAAATAAAATAAAAATAAATAAAATAAAATAATTGAATATAAAAATAAATTTAAATTAAATAATTGAAAGAAATTGAAACAATAAAATGAAATAAAACAGAGTTAAACTAAAGACCTGGGTTTGGCTGCAGGTATTCTGTAGTTTTCGTCATGATGTCCAACACGGCTCTGCTGGTGACGTCCACCTTCTGCAAGGAAACATCATATATACATATTAATATACGTTAAAATATACATATATATATATATATATATATGTATATTATGCATTCAATTAACCACTATTTACCTTTCAATAAATGACGAGTCAATTATATAGACCAATAGAAATAGAACTAAAACAAATAAACTTTATGGAAGATTTTCAAACACGTTATTTAAAAAATAATTTAAATGTAAATCATACAAGAATACGTTTCTCAAAAAGATAGATAATACAATTCATACACATTTTTAATAGCTCAGAGAAAATAGGATTATTAATACTAAATAGTTGTATTTTAAATTAACATATTAATAAACATGTATTTACCTTTTCCATTTCTTTGAAGTCTTCATCTAGCTTTGTTCCTTCGGCCCCCCCGACCTTCTCACTGACTTTCTGCAGAAACACAAAAAAACTACTTCATTTTGTATGTATTTATTTGTGTGTGTGTGTGAGTGTGTGTGTGTGTGTGTGTGTGTGTGTGTGTGTGTGTGTGTGTGTGTGTGTGTGTGTGTGTGTGTGTGTGTGTGTGTGTGTGTGTGTGTGTGTGTGTGTGTGTGTGAGAGAAAGGCAGATGTCTCACGTCTTCATCAAACACACCGTGCAAACAGAGGTAAACATGTGTGTGATCATGTGACCACGTACACACCTGAGCCCCATCATGTGTGTGTGTGTGTGTGTGTGTGTGTGTGTGTGTGTGTGTGTGTGTGTGTGTGTGTGTGTGTGTGTGTGTGTGTGTGTGTGTGTGTGTGTGTGTGTGTGTGTGTGTGTGTGTGTGTGTGTGTGTGTGTGTGTGTGTGTGTGTGTGTGTGTGTGTGTGTGTGTGTGTGTGTGTGTGTGTGTGTTTGTGTGTTTGTGTGTGTGTGTCTGTTGTTTTGATGAGATCTAAAGACAATAACATAGGACAGATGAGGAGGGAGATGCAGTTGCCATGGAGACAGAGATCTTAGTGCCCTCACACACACACGCACGCACGCACGCACACGCACGCACACACACACACACACACACACACACACACACACACACACACACACACACACACACACACACACACACACACACACACACACACACACACACACACACACACACACACACACACACACACACACACACACACACACACACACACCACACACACACACACACACACACACACACACACACACACACACACACACACACACACACACACACACACACACACACACACACACACACACATAACCCTTTGCAGTGTCGTCTCTAAACGAGTTATTCTCCACTCATTTCTTTGTTTATCATCTTTGTTATTATTTCCCTATGTGACTCCTTTGTTTACTTCTGGAACATAGTGACATCACTACGTAACACTCGCTCTCCTATTGGCTAGCGCTCCAACACGTTGTACTTGAGGCTAAGGAGGCGGGACATCTCTAAGTGGTCGACCAATCACAACAGAGCTGATTATCTCAAGAGAGAAGTTGTATATAATGATGACTAGAAAGCCTGAAAGGACATTTAAAACAAACATGTATTTTTTAAAGGTAACTTAACAGATTTATGGACGCTTGTTTGCACCAGAGATAAAACAAGTTAAATATGAGTCTAGTTTTGTTCTTCTTCCTCCTCTTCCTCCTCCTCTTCCTCCTCTTCTCCTGCTGACATTAATCCTGAGTTAGAAACTAGAGTAGCTGAGCGGCTGCCGAGCCACTGACAGAGGAGGCATCAAAGGCCGGATGAATGTGTAAACAGAACCTACTGAAGTGCGCTGAGTGCCCGGGTCCCATTCATGTTCATTAACCTTAATACAGCAGAAATCCTCTTCAGTGGTGTTCTGCATTTTAAAGGGAGCATTTATGAGGTTGAGGTTCATCATCGACACGGTGGTGCGTTCAGGTGCTGAACAGTCTGTCCTTACAGTTTAAAGAAAGGAGAGAAAGGACGCACGGCAAACACCGGGAGCAGCAGATCTACTTTCTATTAAAGTGGACCTATCATGCTATATTTGAATAATATAGTGTAGGACCATACCTATATAAGGCATATTTATACTTTTCAAAATACCAAACAGATCATGCATTTTAGCCATGCCTCATGTCGCTCAATTTGACATTTTTTAGCTCTGTTTTAGCAAGGGCAGATTCTGTGAGAACAGCACCACCTACTGGCCTGGCATATGTACTACAGCGTCTCCAGCGCTTTCGAACGGCAATGGCCGTGGCTGTCTCCTCCTGATTGGTGGAGTTGGCCCAATAGCCGTAGCGCCACCGTCCTGACGTCAGGACAGTGTTCAAATCTGGATCAGTTTTTATCAGATCCGTTGCAGCCCCTTTTTTAGAGATTTGGGTATGGAGGAAAATAGAGAGGGTTGTGTTTTCTGACACTTGGTGAGTTCCCTGGAACACCGGGGACACATATTCATGTAGAAAAGACGTACTAAAGTGCATTTTGCATGATAGGTCCCCTTTAAGTAAAGACCTTTTAACCCCTCGGAGGAAATGAAGCGTGTTTCTGTTTTAAAGCTGAAGTTATATAACAGCTCATTACTACAGTGACACTCAGAGAGTCAGTGGAGGGCGAGAGAGAGGAAGGAGAGAGGGAGGAGAGAGGGAGGAGAGGAGAGGAGAGGAGGAGAGGAGAGGATGAGGAGACAGTAAAATGCATCAGGCTCAGAAACACTAACAGGACGAGGAGGGAGAACAAAATGAAAGAAAAATACATCTGTGTTTTTATTTCTTATTATTATTATTATTCTCTTTTTCATTGTATTTTTAGGAATTTAATGATGTATTTATATATTTATCTATTTTATTGAACTTTATTTACTTTATTTTATTTTATTGTCTTTTAATGTCATTTTTAAATCCCATTCATGTTATTATTTTGTATTATTTAAAAATATTGTATTTATTCTTTGGCTTTCATCTGTTTTATTGTAATAATGTTTTTAAGGTGTTTCTCATTTTTTGAAAGTTGACATTTATTGAATTTATTGAATTTATTGAATTTATTGAATTTATTGAATTTATTTCAGCTCTTTTTTTGTAATTCGCGTTGTCATGGCCTCAATTTATTCGTATTATTTTGTATCTCATTTACTGGCTGAAATGTATTTTATATTATTTATTCTGTTATTTTAATAAAATACATTTAACAGCTATTTGATCCAGTTTATTTTACTGATTTTTATTATTTTATTTTCTTGGCTGCAGGTACGTCTCTAACCCGAGAGGCAGTGAGGATGATGAGGTCAAAGGTCACAGACGAAGAGTTTAATAAAGGGACCCGACACTAAAAAGGGAAACAGACAGGAAGCTCAACACCTGCAAGTGTGTGTGTGTGTGTGTGTGTGTGTGTGTGTGTGTGTGTGTGTGTGTGTGGGTGGGTGTGTGTGTGTGTGTGTGTGTGTGTGTGAAAAAACGTGTTTAAAAAAGAATAAAATAACATTTAAAAATACATTAAAAAAGTTATAAATATCACAAGAAAGGGAAAATTATACATAAATAGATAAAAATAAAATACATTTAGAAAAATAATGAAATTACAATAAAAAATGTATTAAACAAATATAATAAATCAATATTGAAGGAGGTGAACATGGAGGACGTGTGCAGAGAGAGAAGGAGGTGAACATGGAGGACGTGTGGAGAGAGAGAAGGAGGTGAACATGGAGGACGTGTGCAGAGAGAGAAGGAGGTGAACATGGAGGACGTGTGCAGAGAGAGAAGGAGGTGAACATGGAGGACGTGTGCAGAGAGAGAAGGAGGTGAACATGGAGGACGTGTGCAGAGAGAGAAGGAGGTGAACATGGAGGACGTGTGCAGAGAGAGAAGGAGGTGAACATGGAAGACGTGTGGAGAGAGAGAGAAGGAGGTGAACATGGAGGACGTGTGGAGAGAGAGAAGGAGGTGAACATGGAGGACGTGTGCAGAGAGAGAAGGAGGTGAACATGGAGGACGTGTGCAGAGAGAGAAGGAGGTGAACATGGAGGACGTGTTGCAGAGAGAGAAGGAGGTGAACATGGAGGACGTGTGCAGAGAGAGAAGGAGGTGAACATGGAGGACGTGTGCAGAGAGAGAAGGAGGTGAACATGGAAGACGTGTGGAGAGAGAGAAGGAGGTGAACATGGAAGACGTGTGCAGAGAGAGAAGGAGGTGAACATGGAGGACGTGTGCAGAGAGAGAAGGAGGTGAACATGGAGGACGTGTGCAGAGAGAGAAGGAGGTGAACATGGAGGACGTGTGGAGAGAGAGAAGGAGGTGAACATGGAGGACGTGTGCAGAGAGAGAAGGAGGTGAACATGGAGGACGTGTGCAGAGAGAGAAGGAGGTGAACATGGAGGACGTGTGCAGAGAGTGAAGGAGGTGAACATGGAGGACGTGTGCAGAGAGAGAAGGAGGTGAACATGGAGGACGTGTGCAGAGAGAGAAGGAGGTGAACATGGAGGACGTGTGCAGAGAGAGAAGGAGGTGAACATGGAGGACGTGTGCAGAGAGAGAAGGAGGTGAACATGGAGGACGTGTGCAGAGAGAGAAGGAGGTGAACATGGAGGACGTGTGGAGAGAGAGAAGGAGGTGAACATGGAGGACGTGTGCAGAGAGAGAAGGAGGTGAACATGGAGGACGTGTGCAGAGAGAGAAGGAGGTGAACATGGAGGACGTGTGCAGAGAGAGAAGGAGGTGAACATGGAGGACGTGTGCAGAGAGAGAAGGAGGTGAACATGGAGGACGTGTGCAGAGAGAGAAGGAGGTGAACATGGAGGACGTGTGCAGAGAGAGAAGGAGGTGAACATGGAGGACGTGTGCAGAGAGAGAAGGAGGTGAACATGGAGGACGTGTGCAGAGAGAGAAGGAGGTGAACATGGAGGACGTGTGCAGAGAGAGAAGGAGGTGAACATGGAGGACGTGTGCAGAGAGAGAAGGAGGTGAACATGGAGGACGTGTGCAGAGAGAGAAGGAGGTGAACTTCTAGAGATTGAAGGTTCCTAGCCTGGACGCTAGCAACATTAGCTTCGTTGGCTTCTATCACAGCCACAAGAAGCTTGGCGTTCCACCTCTTCCTGTTTCCTGTGTTGTTGCCGTGGTGATGTTTACGTGTTGTTACCGTGGTGATGTTTATATTTATATCAGAGAGGCTGTTCCTCTCTGCTCGCTCTCAGCTGATCATTGATCTCTTCATGATTTATTCACACAGGTGAGACCCAGGAGTCTCATTTCCTCTCAGCGTCACACACACACACACACACACACACGCACACACACACACACACACACACACACACACACACACACACACACACACACACACACACACACACACACACACACCACACACACACACACACACACACACACACACACACACACACACACACACACACACACACACACACACACACACACACACACACACACACACACACACACACACACACACACACACACCACACACGCACACACACACACACACCACACACACACACACACACACACACACACACACACACACGAACACACACACAATTCAGTGGACAGGAAGTCACCGTTCATAAAGTTTGAATGTTCTCGTAGATCGATGCGTCTGATTGGATGATGCACAATCAACAGCCAATCAGAACACACCTTAACATTTTTTTAAACTCCCTGGTTAGATCATATAATTGATGTATATTTAAAAGCTTATTTAATACATGTATTGAGTATATTGAGATGATTTGTATTATTTAATTATATTATATTTGTGTTATTATTTTAATGCAAATATATTAGATTTTTCTTGTCATTTTGATGTTTTTTAAATATGTTTTACATAAACTAAAATGCATTAATTTAAATATGTGATGTACTATTTATCTGGAATCCCCTGTCTCTGTGTCTCCGGCCTGCTGCAGTGACCCAGTTCCCCTCAGGGATCAATATCGTCTATCAGCATCTCCTCGTCTGCTAAATACAAACAATGAGAGGAGCGACATCCTGTTGACAGGCGGGAGGAAACCCAGACGAGGAGTCAGATACAAACCCTCTCTCTGAGTTTCTCTGGTGGCGTTTTACACTTTATAACGAAGCTTTGGGGCAAATAAGTGGATTCAAGTGTGAAATAAAATAAGTTTATCAATATTTAGCTCCAAAAATACACTTTATATTGAAACTTTATGACAAATATCTGCAGATTTGAGAGATGTCAGTGTAAGAGTTGTTATTACAAATGATTTACTGAAAGCAAAACAGTGTCTCTTTATGAGATAAGTGTTTGTTTTTTACCTGGAAGACCCTCTTTTTTAATAAATACTATTATTAAGGAAGATGTTGGGATGTTCAGAGCGATTGGAAAGGTTGGACGGCATGATTTGAGAAGGTTTTAACTACAGAAATGTATAAAATAGTGTAGTTTTGGGAAGACTGAGGGATAAAGAGACAGACAGATTGATGTAAAATATTATTTAAAGGACGATGCATGTAGTAAAAGCTGCAGGAATTATATTAAAAGTAGATTATTATGCATTTAGTTGTTTGATGGAGTAATTACAAAGCAAAAATGCCTCCTAAATATTGAGATTCCTGCTTTTTGTGACATTAAAATTATTATATTTGGACATTTTTCAATATTTTCTGACATTTAATGAAGAAAATTACAATAATAAGGATGATGGAGGACACACACACACACACACACACACACACACACACACACACACACATAGTTACGCAATAGGCTGTGTGTGTGAGGGGGGTATACCCTGTTGTTCGTACACACATCACGTCATAATTCCACTAATAAAGACCAATATTTTGATTAAAATACATTTTTTAACCACAAATATTAGGATTTGTTTTACATTTTCTATCAAAAAAGCAGATTTGATTGCATATTTCGGAGGTGTTATTGTTGTTGTTGACGCTAATGGATGCCATGTTTACGTGCATTTGTTTACATGCATGAATAAGTGTTGGTATTTATTCATACCAGCTGATGATAAACATGAATGTGGAGGCTTCTCTTACCTGGGTGGCTTTATGGAACTGCTTCTTCAGCCCCGCGACAGACATCACTTCGGTGGGAAACAAATGAAGAATAAATGAGATGAAATTAATAGTATTCCTGCAGTTCGTTGGGAGGAAGGACCCTGAAAGAGAGGGGAGGGGGGGGGGGCGGGGGGAGACACGGTGTAAAATCCTCCGGTGCTTAACGGTGTAAGGCTCGGGTATTATCCGTTTATTTTGGTGAAATTGGTGAAGATGATCTGCGGACCGAACCCAGCTGGATCTGTTTCCAGAGAGAGAGAGGGAGAGAGGGAGAGGGGAGATCCTGTGATGAGAGGATGCTTCACTACAGAGGAAACTGACTCTCTGGGATCAGCTGGACGTTTTGGGAGTTCTCTGAGAAATTAATTATAAGTTTACTTTTTAGAGATACGTGTTATCAGAGGGAAAAAAGCTAAATATATATGCAGTTGTTACATGGGGAAAAATATGTGAATAAAGTATGAAGACATGTCAAAACAATTAAAATAGCCAACATTTTCCTGTAAATTGTGTGAAAAGAAATCGTAACAAATGTAATTTAATACTAAAAATAAAAATAATAATAAGCAGGGAATTAATTAAAAAACATTTACATGGGATTTGAGGGGTTTTAAATAATCAATGATGTGGAAATATATTTGTATAGTTTTGTATTAATAGGTTAATTTCCGTTTTTATTTACCTCCCAACAGACCATCTGTCAAACACTCGATCTTCGGCAGGGACCCAGCGTCACGTTCTCTGACGTCACCGCGTCGCCCTGTCCTCTCCACCCGCGCGCAAAGAGACGTTTTAATGAAATAATTAAATTAATAAAAAGAAAATATAAAACAGTGTGATCACGTGACGTCACGAGACGGAGGGATCATTTGAATATGTAATGAGGGAGATGAAGAAGAGGCGTTCAGGGACTTCAGCACCACGGACAGCTCACCAGGGGCTCATGGTGCGTTCAAATGCAGCTGGGAAACGGACCTCTTTATTTATATTATGTATATATAAATATTTTTATATTATTTAATATTTGTTATTTACACATTCATAATTTACCTTCTTATGTTTGTATTCATGTATTCTTTTATTGGACATTTATAAATTACGTTATGTTCATATAAATATCTTCAATCTATATATTGTAGTGCCGAGAGAAGAGAGACGGAGGCGGTGCATCGGAGGTGCACATCTCACTTTATTGGGGAGCAGAAACTGACATGCTGTCGGGTCGCAGCCGCAGAAGAGAAGAGAAAATGAAAGGGACACACACCCTGTAGGTACCCCGGAGGTACCGTCAACATATGTCCGTGCGGAAACAATACCCCCAACCTGTAGTTCCTGGATTGAATTATGTAACCCCAGTGTATGAATCAGTGATCACTACACAAGCCCCCCCAGAATTCAACCATGGACACAATCCTCGCGTCCGGGAGGAAGCACCACAGGGGCCGAGGAGGGCGGGCCATGGAACGGGCCGTCGGAAGGGGGCCGCAGGAGAGGGTAGGGGCCCCAACGAGGGCGAGGGCATCCCCACCGGAGGGCGGGTGGCGGGCCGGAACGGGCCGTCGTCAGGGGGCCGCAGAAGAGGGTAGGGGCCCCAACGAGGGCGAGGGCATCCCCACCAGAGGGTGGGGGGCGGGCCGGAACGGGCCGTCGTCAGGGGGCCGCAGAAGAGGGTAGGTGCCCCAACGAGGGCGAGGGCATCCCCACCAGAGGGTGGGGGGCGGGCCGGAACGGGCCGTCGTCAGGGGGCCGCAGAAAGCAGGGTCGGCAGGGAGGAGCGCTGCCCGTCCGCAGGCGAAGGCACAGCGGCGGCGGGCACAAAGTCCTCGGGAGGAAGGAGCCGTGTCCCTGGGAGGAGGGAGCCGTGGACAGGGGAGAGGCCAGACGGGGCGCCGTCGAGGCGAACCGTGAGCCGCGGTTAGAGGTGAGGCCAGGCAGGGTCCCGAAGTGCGCCACCCGCGGGCCGATGAAGGCATGGGCGACGTTAGAAACCGCCGAGGCGAGGGAAGAGGCGAGACGGGGTCCAGAAGCGCGTCACCCACGGGCCGAAGCAGGCGTGTGTGACGTCCGAAACCGCCGTCGAGGTGGTGATAAAGCGAGAGGGTCCACACGAGGCCGACCAGACATGGTCGAACCTCCTCTCAGGCACCAGAAAAAGCTCAAAAATGGTCGTCCCGTCCACGAACAAAAACAGGTGGGCGAAATAGCGAGAGGATCCACGCGAGGCCGACCAGACTTGATCGAACCTCCTCTCCGGCACCACAAAAAACAAAAACAAATAAAAAACAGTCGGATAGCCGCTAGCTGCTGTGGCTAGCCATCATTAGCAGTTGCCAGCTGCTAGCCGTTAGCAGTCGTGGCTAGCTGTTCTCGGCGGCCGTCAGTCGCTGGCCGGACATGCAGCCGTATGTCCCGAATAAACCCGGCACGGTCGCGTACCGGCCCCATGGAAGGCTTGCTGTCCCCCAGAGCCGAAAAGCCGTGGAAATGGCGAGCGTCGTCCGCGTCCATTGCGTGGGGCGCACCGAGCCACAGTCCGAGCGCATGTGGCAGCTACGGAGGTCTCCAAAAATCTCCGGCATTTCGAGAAAAACAAGAGTCTTTTGCCGTGTTCGGTTCAGTCCCGGAACCTTCGTGAGACTTATGTCAGGGTCACCAATGTAGTGCCGAGAGAAGAGAGACGGAGGCGGTGCATCGGAGGTGCAAATCTCACTTTATTGGGGAGCAGAAACTGACATGCTGTCGGGTCGCAGCCGCAGAAGAGAAGAGAAAATGAAAGGGACACACACCCTGTAGGTACCCCGGAGGTACCGTCAACATATGTCCGTGCGGAAACAATACCCCCAACCTGTAGTTCCTGGATTGAATTATGTAACCCCAGTGTATGAATCAATGATCACTACAATATACACATTATTTATATGTAACTTATTTCTTTCTGAAAACGTAGCATCTCACAAAGACAGTATTTTAATATCAATGAACAATTATTCATAATTTAGAAAACATATGTTACTACATTAAAAATAAAAATGATTGAACTCACTCAAACTAATTTTAAAACGTTTAACCATGTTCCCTTTAAAAATAAATACTAAATAAAATCTATTATTTGAGGATGCATGCTCTCTTTGTACCACTAGAGGGAGACAACACTCACACATCTTAGTGCACTTTATAAGAATCAGAGTTAGTTTTATTACCAAGTATGTTGTAATTAGCTTTGGTGTAAGTGCTGCATTCAAAGTCACGGAAAGAATTATACGTAACCAAAAATAAATAAAGACAATATTTACACAAAATATAATTATGTGGGAAACTGAGTGAGTGAGTACACATATAGGTGTAACAGTGCAGTACACATATAGGTGTAACAGTGAGTACACATATAGGTGTAACAGTGCAGTACACATATAGGTGTAACAGTGCAGTACACCTATAGGTGTAACAGTGAGTACACATATAGGTGTAACAGTGAGTACACCTATAGGTGTAACAGTGCAGTACACATATAGGTGTAACAGTGCAGTACACCTATAGGTGTAACAGTGAGTACACATATAGGTGTAACAGTGAGTACACATATAGGTGTAACAGTGAGTACACCTATAGGTGTAACAGTGAGTACACCTATAGGTGTAACAGTGAGTACACATATAGGTGTAACAGTGCAGTACACATATAGGTGTAACAGTGCAGTACACATATAGGTGTAACAGTGCAGTACACATATAGGTGTAACAGTGAGTACACCTATAGGTGTAACAGTGAGTACACATATAGGTGTAACAGTGAGTACACCTATAGGTGTAACAGTGCAGTACACATATAGGTGTAACAGTGCAGTACACATATAGGTGTAACAGTGAGTACACCTATAGGTGTAACAGTGAGTACACATATAGGTGTAACAGTGCAGTACACATATAGGTGTAACAGTGCAGCAGACATATAGGTGTAACAGTGCAGTACACCTATAGGTGTAACAGTGAGTTACACATATAGGTGTAACACTGAGTACACATATAGGTGTAACAGTGAGTACACATATAGGTGTAACAGTGTATAGGTGTTTGAGGCGATGGAGTGCAAGACGGGTTATTATATATCGACTAGACGTTTGAAAATGTGCTTACCGCATCCCAAAATCACTGTTCCTGAGTGGGCATTCTGGTGTACTTTGTTGTTTCCTCTGCTTGGTGTTGACACTGTGCAAAGGTGTCAGTGTGGTTTCTCAGAAAGGTTCCTTTGTATCTGTTAAAAAGGGGAATCTGTAATCTAATGAGGAGCTTTTCTTTCTATATGTGTTCTGTAAAGCTTTAAAAAAACAAGAAATTCATTAAAAAACAAGGAGGGGTCTGAGCTCATGCGGGACCCGGCAGCTACTGTCTAAACTAAATACTGCCGTGATGAAACGCCATATCATGGATTATCAAGGATTATTTCTGAAACAGTATGGAGCTCAAAGGCTTTTTCTCTTGCCGGTTATACCACAAGGTGAGTTCCTTTTTATTTCCTGCTTCTTCACACACATGCTCTCCAGTACAGGTTAGCTCTGAGTGTTAGCGATGCTAATGTAAACACCGACCATATTACGTCCAAAACAGTCGGGCATTGTTTCTGATAGCAACTTTCTGATAGGGCCGTGGGTCCACATATGGTGTAAATATAACCTATCTACCAATTGGATCAAATATAAAAGTCAACCGAATTAGTATTGATACTGCAAGGAGACGTATTGTGTGAAAAGAAATGTAAGATGTTTAATTGCTGATATATTTATGATCCACGTCACGTTTTCAGTTTTGGCGGCAGTGCTTCCTGTTTGTCCAGAAGTCTTCTCATCAGGGCTCTATACATACAGAACTACGGCAGATATGTCATATTTAATGCAGCCAAACCGTGTATTACAATGCCGTTATGTGATGACTTTCAAAGAGAAAAGCAAGCAAACTCGGAATAAAGTATTTTATTTTTTTTAAATGTTTTCGGATTTCACATGAACAGGAGTCCGGTTAACTAAAATGTCCGTGCGCAACAATACCCCCAACCCATAGATCCGTGGGTGAATAATGTCATTCACCACATTACACACATTCCTTCAC